CTCTGATGCTGCTTGGCCTGCTGTGTTCATCCAGCTCTACACCTTGTCATCTCAGATTCTCCAGCATCTGCAGCTCCTACTATCTCTGTAAACCAATATAGATAGGTTGAGTAAATGAACAAAAGATAAGACAGATCAAGTATAATGTGGGAAAATGTGACATTGTTTACTTTCACAGGAAAAATGAAAAAGCAGATTATAACTTAAACAGAGAACAGTTGCAGAATTCACACTCATCTACAGCACCTCTTTTTTTTGAAGAACATATCTGAATCTCTATTTTGTCCTCCTACTGATGTTTCCACATTCACCTACATTACTACTATTTCACTAGTGCTGTCCTGGAGCACATTGCTGTTTAATTCTTCAGACAATGCTTAGTCAGTCTTCATCAACAAATCCAGCTCAGAAATTACTGACAAGGAATCAGCTGCCATTGGTATTGTGCAGTCCTATGGCTTATAAAGCTAGGAAGAGGAGCAACAGCTTGAGAAGGTACTGCTGGACATAATGGTAGCTGTCTCCAATACAGCAGAGCATTAAGACAATTCTACAGCCTCAATGCTACTATTAAAATTGACCATCAATGGGACTTGCAGAATTTTGTTTTATCCGTTCGTAGGATGTGGGCTTTGCTGGCTGGGCCAGCATTTATTGCTCATCCCTAGTTGCCCTTGAGATGGTCAGCTGCCTTTTTGAATTGCTGCACTCGTGTGTTATAGGTAGATACACAATGCTGTTAGGGAGGAAGTTCCAGGATTTTGACACAACACTGAAAGAATGACATAACACAGTGTGGAGCTGGAGGAACACAGCAGGCCTGGCAGCATCAGAGGAGCAGGAAAGCTGACGTTTCAGGTCAGAACCTCTGAAATAAATAGAGAGAGGAGGAGTGGGGCTGGGGAAGGTAGGTGGGATGGTGACAGGTGAGTGCAGGTAGGCAGTGATGGGGATTGATCAGTGAGGTGGGAGGAGCGGATAGGTTGGAGAGAGGATGGACATGTCAAGGAGACGGGGATGAGAGGGAGGGTTGGTCATGGTATGAGGCTGGGGGTGGGGAGATTTTGAAGCTAGTAAAGTCCACATTGAGACCATTGGGTTGTAGGCTCCTGAGGCGGAATATGAGGTGCTGCTCCTCCAGTTTCCGGGTGGTGTCGTTGTGACACTGGAGGAGCCTGCAACCCAATGGTTTCAATGTGGACTTTACTAGCCTCAAAATCTCCCCACCCCCCGGCCTCATCCCATGATCAGTCCTCCCTCTCATCCCCGCCTCCTTCACCTGTCCGTCTTCTCTCCAACCTATCCGCTCCTCCCACCTCACTGACCAATCCCCACCACTGCCTATCTGTGCTTACCTATCACCATCCCACCTACCTTCCCCACCCCCACCCCTCCTCTCTCTATTTATTTTGGAGCTCCCTTCCCTCTCCCACATTTCTGAAGAAGGGTCCTGAGCTGAAACGTCAGCTTTACTGCTCCTCTGATGCTGCCTGGCCTACTGTGTTCCTCCAGCTCCACACTGTTATCTCTGACTCCAGAATCGGCAGTTCTTGCTATCACTGAAAGAATGACAATATGTTTCCAAGTGAGGAGTGACTTGGAGGAGAACTTGCAAGTAGTGGTATACACCTGTATCTGCTGCCTATGCCCTTCTAGACAGAAGTGGTTGTGGGTTTGGAGGGTGCTGTCTGAGGGGCCTTGGTGAAATCTGCAGTGCATCTTGTAGGTAGTATGCACTGCTGCTATGTTCAGTGTTGAAGGGTGTGGATGCTTGCAATTATGATGGCAGTCAAATGGGCTGCTTTTGTCCTGGGTGAAATCCAGTTTCCAGAGGGTTGTTGGAGCTACACTCATCCAGGCAATTGGGCTGTATTCCATCACTCTCCTGATTTGTGCCTAGTAGATGCTGGATCGACTTTGGGGAATCAGAAGGTGAGTTATTTTCTGCAGTGTTTCTTACCTCTGGTCTGTTCTTGTAGCTATTGTATTTACATTTCAGTTCTGGTCATGGTAACCCTTAGGATGTTGATAGTGGGGGATTCATTGATGGGCATGCCGTTGAATGTCAAGGGGCGATGTTTTGGTTTTCTGTCTTTGGAGATGGTCACGCCTGACAATTGTGTGGCGCAAATGTTACTTACCACTTTTCAGCCCAAGGCATATTTTCCAGGTATTGCTGCATTTAGAGATGGACTTCGTCAGTATCTGAGGAGTCATAAATGATGCTGAACATTGTTAAACCCTGAGCAAACATCTGCACTTCTGACCTTTATGATGGAGAGGAGATCATTGATGAAGCATCTGAAGATGGTTGGTGCTACGATACCATTTTGAGAAACTCCTCCAGAGGTGCTCTGGCACTGAGATGATCGATATCCAGCAATCGCAGCCATCTTCCTTTGTGTGAAGTATGACTCCAAAAATTTGGAGAGTTCCCTTCCCCCCCCAACAATTCCTATTGACTCCAGTTTTGCTAGGGCTCCTTGATACTGCATTCGGTCAAATACAGCCTTGATGTCAATGTTGATGTTGAAATTGGCTTTTTTATCCATGTTTGAAGCAAGTCTGTAATAAGATCAGGAGCTGACTGGCCCTTGTGGCACCAAACTAGGTGCCAGTGAGTATGTTCAGTAATTGACATTTCTTAATTCAACTCAGGAACTCTGTTCATACCCTTTAAACTAATGACGTAGTTCTTGATGGTACACCTTTTACTTCAGTGAAAGTATCATCAGCTGCAACCTGGTAACTGACCAGAATGGTGAAGTCCAGGTCTTGACCTTACATGAAAACATATGGGCCTGCAAGGACTTTGGACTGGCAGCCATTGTCAGGAAGACCAAAGCTATTGGCCCGGATGTGAAGACTCCATCTTCCATCAACATTGAAAATTTCTCTCTGGAGGCCATCTGCAGCTTTGCATACTTTGGGTAAACAGTTACCAACAACTTGCCTCTTGATGCTGAAATCAGCACCAGGGTTGCTGAGGCTACATCTATCATGATCCATGCATGATTCCTCAACTTTGACAAACAGCAAACTAACCTAAAATACAAAGTTATATGTGTGCCAGCAGGTATTCTTGGCACTCTCGATGATAGCAAAGCAAGGACAGCTTCCGTAAGCTAAGAAAACTGGCTGAGTTTCTATCTCTGTATCCACCCCAACATGTGGAGATCTTCATCGTTTTCACTTGAGTCTGTGGTCACTCCATTGGCTGGTTCTGCAAGCTGAATTGGATGGCAGCCACATCTTTAAAGATCTACTCTGTGGCAAGCTACTGTCGGAATGAGACCAGTGACACAAGAAAGTCTGTAAGCGAGACCTTAAGTTGACTGGGATCAAGTTGGTCCTTGTCGACCAGTGCGCTTAGAGTCCAGCAGTAGACAAGTTAAATGGCCAGGTGGCAGAAAAGAATGCCCACAGAGGGGGTAAAAAAGAAATCAATTTACCTTGGGCCGTGTTATTCATCTGAGCCAGATGCAAAAGGGACTGCCACTCATGAATTGGCCTTTACGGTCACAACAAATGACCATAAAATGACCAAATATCACAGTAAATGTTATTTCAGACTTGAGAATGCTATATGATGGCTTTCCCGAAAGGACAGTGCTAGGACCATTTTTGTTTTTGCTGTGTTTAAATGACTTGGAATACAGAGTAAAAATTTCATAAGTTGCCCCAATGGCACACAACTGGCACAAACAGCAAAAAAAAATCCTAATTGACTGCAACGAACAGCTAGATGTGTTGGCAGATGGGTGACAATTAAAATTTAAATCAGAAGTATGAGGTGATGTGTTTTGACAGGAGGAATATGCAGTGGCAATATAGGTTCAATGTTACAACTCTAAAGATCGAGGGGTGCACGTACATAATTTTAGTTTGGAAGGTGGTAGGACATATTGAGACAGTAATTAAAGGAGAGAATATTCTGTAGAGGAGAAGCGAATGAGCCAACATGTCCTCAACTTCTGATACCAACATGGGAAGGACGGTTGTTAAGAACGGCACGGTGGCTCAGTGGTTAGCACTGCAGCCTCACAGCGCCAGGGACCCAGGTTCGATTCCAGCCTCGGGCGACTATCTGTGCGGAGTTCTGCACATTCTCCCCGTGTCTGCGTGGGTTTCCTCCGGGTGCTCCGGTTTCCTCCCACAGTCCAAAGATGTGCAGGCTAGGTGGATTGGCCATGCTAAATTGCCCGTAGTGTTCAGGGGTATGTGGGTTATAGGGGATGGGTCTGGGTGGGATGCTGCAAGGGTCGGTGTGGACTTGTTGGGCCGAAGGGCCTGTTTCCACACTGTAGGGATTCTATAAACCTGTTGGCAGATTTTCAGGAGCTGGGGAGGAAGTTTAGAGTAGGATCTCAAAGGTAGTTATCTTTGGATTGATCTTGAGTGCCATAAACTGACTACAGTAGTAAGAAGAAACTGAGGATCAACGTGTCATTTGAGGCATGGTGCAGGAGGGACAGCTTCAGATAAATGGGACATCTAAACCAGTTGTAGGACAGAAGTCACCTCTTCAATAGGGATGACTTGTATCTCAACAGGATTGGTGCTGACGTCCTAGTTGGGAGGTTCACTAGTCTGGTTTGAAATGGTGTAAACTAAGTTGGCACGAGATGAGCACCAGCATGTTGAAGTAAAAAAGAAAAATAAGGTGCATAATGTAAAATTGTTGGAGAGTATTAAAGAGATTAGTTCCACATTAGTTAGAAGCAGACAAAGACCGATAGTGAGGAATGCAAAGAGTAGTGAGAAGTTTGGTAAGCCACAAGCCGAAATAGCATGTAGGAATATGATGAAGTGGCAGTTACCGAAAATTGGAATATTGTTACATGATTTCTAAAAGTATATTCAGGAGAATTGCCTTGATCAGTATGTTCTTGACCAAAGAAGGAAGAAGGCATGACTAGATTTGGTACTAGCAAAAGAGTCGTGCGTGGAAGCCCAAATAAGACTGGAACAAGGAATGTTCCACATACACATGCAGGTACACATGGGCGCATCTTCTACTTGCAGAAAATGAGACGAGTTAACAGTTGTTCTAAGTGATAACAAGCTCAGCCAAGCGAAGCAGGATGGTGGTGGATGGGGACTGTTTAGGCCTCTTTTTTTCAAGGCGTGTTAGTTTAATTTGGAGAGTGGTGGAGGGACTAAAAAGTATAATTTGGAAAAACACTGACTATTAAACAACTCCTTATCCAAAGATTTATAGATACATTGGAAACTGTTATACATTAAATATAAAAATAAAAATTGCTACGTGTGGTAATGGGTACTTTTGTCACTCTTCATAAAAATGCCATTTTTGATAAAATTTAATATGGCTGTTTGAACACCTCTCTTTGCAATAATAAGCAATAGTCCTTTAATTATATTCTTTGTATAATTCTTATTTTTCTTATAATTCTTATAATTCTCTCTGAATATATATTTTCACATTTATGCTATCAGCAGTGCCAAATCCTCACCTGCACGAACTGTGGAGCTGAATGAAGATGATAAGGATCAGGCCCCGATTACAATGAATACTTTGCATATGATGAAAGCCTTCAAAGTTATGAATGAACTACGAAGGTAATGCTTTTAAAATACTTTTCTTCCTTGTTTTTGAATTACTTCTTATCAATCTTTACCCTACTCGCTTCCCCATCTCCGATCACAATGTATCATTTTTAAGGAAAGGAGAGTAAGTGGTTCCCAGAGTCATAGAATCATAGTCATACGGTATGGAAACATGCCAACTGCATAGGTTATCTGTGTAATTTATGATCTATTTAAGTTTTTGCATTTTTAATCTTTAAGTCTCCTAGCGAGTCAATTTATACAATATGCTGGTCCAGGTTGAATGAAATGGATGATTAAAAAATTCTCTGAAGTAATTCAGTTACTACAAATATTTTACACAGCAATTGTTTTCAAAAAGTAACTGTAAGAATGCAATCTACAAGTGAATATCTTCCACCAGTAACAGTGCTCCTCTGCATGATAAACTTATATTTAAGCAGTCCGTTTGGTCTTTGTGTGTGAACTGTTTGTTTTCTGGCATTCTGAGTCAATGTAACTCCAATGGGATTTTTTTTGTTCTGCACGTATTTGATTTGTGCATCTTCATTCTACGTCATTCTTCAAGATGAGTTGTCATTCTCCATGATCTCAGACTGTTTTCACTAACCTTTAATATCTATCTGAGCTGTTGCTGGAGTGCCCTGGATGTTAGCTATAGTCCATAGCTTAATTCTTCTTTGAAAAACAACAGAACAATATGTCAGATTTTGTTTCAGTCTTAAAAATATTTCACTTGATAATTAAACACTAAATACAAAGTGAATATAAAGCAGAAAGTCCGACTTTTACATTTGCAGTAGGAATTATGATTTCTCTTCAACTGAAAATACTGTGCAACCTTGGAATCTACGTTTAGTTTGAATTAGCTCTTAAAAATTTCTGATTAATTCTTCCTTGATTTCAACAATACAGCTTCCTCAAGTACTCATTCAGTTGCATGACTTTCTTGGATTTGTATCGTTGATTTCCTTACAGTTGTCATGTAAACAATGCTGTGTGAATGATTCAATGTGTATGCTTAAATTGTATGTCTTTATTCCTTTCTGTATCTTATAATGGAGATAATCTGACAAGGTCTCACAATATTTATCATGATTTAGTCCGAATTCAAATATTTTAGTTGGCAGGCTTTTCTATGTATTTGGGTTGAATTTGGAGTTTTGTTTAGGATTTAAGGGAACACCTGTCATACCCAATTAATACCCAATTTTAGTGTCTTAAACATCTAAAGCATACATCATTCAGGGATTCAGGATGAGGCTGTGCTCTGAAAATCTTTTATTTTATTTTAACTAATTGTTGCATTTTAAATAGTGTGTTTCACCAATTTCTTGAATTGTTAAGTTTGAGGTATAATTGAAGTAAAAGAATTATTAGTTCATGCAGTACTTTGCTCAGCAATTTAGTTTTCTTGGTCACTTCAAGTTACATGCCAATTCATTTTAGATATTTTTATTTCAAAATATAAAAGTGCTATTATCTGAGTAAAAGCTACCTTGGAAATAGGAGCAGCAGTAAGCTGTTTGATCTCTTACCCATGCTTTGCCATTCAACTAGATTATTGCTGATATACCATGTCAAAACCATTCTCCTGACTCACTCCATTTCTCTCGATGTCTTTAATATATCAAACTCTGTTTTCGATGTACTCAATGACTGAATCTCCACAGTCCTGAGGCTGAGAGTTCCAAAGCTTCTCCAGCCTGTGAGTGAAGAAATTCTCCCTTATTTCAGTTTATATGGGTTGCCTCTTATTCTGAGACACTGACCCCAACCAGAGGAAGCATGCTTTCCGAATCTATACTGCCAAGCTCTAAGAATTTTGATGTTCCATTGAGATCATTGCTCATCCTTCTATAGCCCAGAGAATTAGGCCCTCCTCATAGGACATTCCTGCCATTTTGCCGGTCAGTCTGTTGAACTGTCACTGCACTCTGCCTACGTCAAATTTATCTTTCCTTGGGTAAGGAGTCCAAAACCGGAGTTAAGACAGGTAAAACAATGATTTTACAAGTGGTAAGTAAATTACAATTCTTGTTTTTCTATCTTCATCATGTTTAAACTGGACCGTTTTCAATGCATTCATGTTTGACCAATTACATCATGTTGCAGTCAATCTGCACCAGTACTTAGTTGCGTTATTTCATTTCAAACTACTTGATGTTCAAATTTAGCCACCAACGTTCCAAGCTTTGGAATTCTGCTCTTTCTAAGGCAGCCCTTGAAACCTATCTTTCCTAATATTTTCTTATTAGGCTTGGTGTCAAAATTTGTTTGATAGAGCTTGTCTGATGTGCTTTCTGACATTTTCTCATTTTTTAAAAGTTGTAATAAATGCAAAAAGTTATTCTATTCAACTCAGCCCTTTTTCAGTGTATTAACTAGAGCCTTATTTACTTTAATTGAACTAGCTCCTGATCTTATTTAGGTGTCCTTAGTGCAGTCAGCATATAAGTTGCAGAAACATGGACTTGGCATAATGGATAATCGGGCTCATAGCTACAATTCTGCAAGCAGTTTTTGCTTTGATACTTTTTGTTTTGATTATACTTGAGTGTAGGGGGAATTTTTCAACATTAAAACACCTTATTTACAAACAAATTTTTGAGATCGTTTATGGTACGTTTTGATCTCTCAAGTACTGCTTTCTGTCTGACCTTTTAAATTATTCAATTCTGACATCGATAAAATTCTGAATAGATCTTAGTGAAGCATTTTTAAAAAATGGCCAGTTGACTATTGTAGATTTGCAGATAACATCACTGTGTATCAGTAGTAAGCTCACTAATTAAAACTCAGCTAAATGTTTCATTGGCCATCAGCCAGTTCAGAAATGGCGTCTACCCACCAACATAATTCTGACTTGGTCTGAGCAGTTCTTCATTTCTTGTTAACTGCTGCACTGTATGGTTCACAGATACCAGTCAAAAACAGCTAAAAAAAAATGTTGTATACAAGGAACAACACCAAACTGAAAAATATGTAGAGTATGTTCTATGCATGAAAACAGATAACTGACAATGGAAGAGGGTCAGATGTATGCCTGTGACTTCAGTTAATGTACTTTACACAAAATTGCATTCCCGCAGCATGTTTTTTAAGATGATAACTATCACAGGCACTTAGATGAAAAAAATGCTGCAATGTAAATAGCAAGGGGACCTGATCAAAATTGTGTTTGAAAAAATGAGCCTGTTTTTGAAAATAAGAATTTGTGTAACAAGGTGAAAGAAATTTAATGCAAGTATTTCAGAGAACTGGAACAAATGGGCAAAACACTGAAACAATGGTGAACTGCCAATGCTGGAGTGAGATTGGACGAAATCCTGCTGAGGTATCAGAGATCCATAATATAAATGCAAAATATCGTGGATGCTGACAATCTGAAATGAGAACAGAAAGTCCCTGAAAAAAAATCAACAGATCTTCCAGTATCTGTGGAAAGAGAATGAGAGTTTATATTTTGAGTTCTATATGACTTTGATGTCCCAGATTTTGACCTCTGACAAAGATGACTATTGATAAAATGAGTGGACAGCAAAACCATGGAAGTATTTGTAACTGCATACAGGGATTTTCAACTCTGTTGGTGGATGGAACGCTAATGGAGGTCAGCAAAGATGAATGCTGGGTAAAGGGGTCTTTGAATAGGATAGGATGTTGATGGAAATGAGAATTAAACCCCTCAGTTGATCATGAAGAAAAGGATTTGAGGCATATTGATGGATAAGTTATGGCGCTCTTAAAGATCTGTCAGTCCATTCAAGTAATGTATTACCTAGGTTAGCTTGAGACCAGGTAGCAGAAACAAAAGGTTTCTGCAGAATCTTGATGTTCATTGGAGAAAGTTCTGCCTTATCCATAGTTTCATGTCAGAGAATCTGAATCATTTATGGTTGTGAAGGGAGAAAGCTGGGTTTTCTCATCCTGTTTTTTGCACACAGTGGGTCAGTATATAAATGAGGAAAGGAGTAATGGGGTGAGGATCAAGGTTGATCCCTTGTGTTTTGAAGCTAACCATTTAGCGTTTGAAGGGAAAGTAATTCTATTTGAATAAATAAATAGGTGTGTAAACAATGAGGATGTTTCTACAGGTGGAACACAGTGGAGAGGTATGGAAGGAGGGTGCAACACTTGTTATAGGAGGAAAAGCAGGATTAATGTGCTAAGGTTGCTGCTGCAAGTATTCTGTGGTAGGTCTGTTAAGATGGAAGAGATTTTGACTGGAATGTTTGGAAGAGATGAGCATAGTATTAAGTGATAAAAGCCTGGAGAGGACCCTTTAGAGAGGAAAGGGAGCTTACATATGATAGTTCTTGCTATTTTTGAATGTAGTTTTCATATTGCAATGCAAGTTTAAGCTTACAAATTGAGTAGTCACTTCAATTCTTTGATATATAGGGATATCTTATCATTTGCTGAATTATCATAACAACATGTTGTTCACAACAGTTAAAAAGGTTTAATTGCACTTGCAAGGAATTGCAGAATTTGTCTGGAGCCTTGGTAAGACTGCACCTGAAGTATTGTGTAGTTGTGGTTTCCTAACTTGCCATATATGGAGTGCAATTAACTTTCTCTAGAATGATCCTTGGAATGGTGGAATAATCCTATGAAGAGAGATTAAGAAGACCAGACCTGTGTTTTCTAGAGTTTTAAAAGAATGAAGCAGTCTCATTAAAACCTAATTTTTTTTTTCAACGTGGCAGTGGAATAGAGGGGCTGAGGCCGTGGTTCATCTGCTGTTGACTTTCTTTCTTTTTTTTTTCCCCTTCTTTTACTTTTGCTCTTTTTCTTTTTTCTTTTTTTCTTTTTACTTCATTTCATCTTTTTTTCTTTTAAGCCTGGAAAGTGGCTGGTGAAGGAGGAGGCCTCCAGCAGCGGCAGCAAAGCCAGGATGAGCCAGAAACAGCTCCTCCATAGCCTGGGGACTCCCGGTGAGTGAGGAACAAGTCCCAGGCTGACTCCACCGGCCTGAAGCCCACAGGTTAGGCTGAGGCTCCAGGCCCTAGTGTCTGAAGGAGGGGAAAGGCGGTTTCCCGGTTTGGTAGGCTTGTCTCCGCATGGAGGTCGTCTTCATCTTCCAAATATTCCATTGGCTCGCCAGGTGGTCTTGTCCAGGAGTGGTGGTCTTAGCCTGGCATGGTGGTCGTCTTTGGTTAAGTGGAGGTGCTGGTGTTGGACTGGGGTGGGATCTTGGGTTCATGTCGCACTACAGGTGACCCCACCACACTATTCTCTCACTCTCTCTCACATGCATGCACAGTCTCGTGAATCTTTGGGGTGGATTTGTATTTGCAGATACATTTTATTTTGTTCAAAAAGCACAAAATTTTGTGGCCAGTCAATTAATGTGGCATTTTGTAAATTCCCACTTTAGAAATAAAACCAGTCTGACTCGAAACTAAAACACAAACAGATTCTAAACAAGGCCTCACACCTAACATGCATTGTCTGACCTAAAATGTCACCACCTCTTTACACAGACAAAATCTTTAGTTCTCTCAGGACCATGACTCGGCAGGAATTCGGTGATTTACATTTACATATTAATCAATTAAAACTTCTAACTGAAGATTTAACAGCATATTAGGTTTGTTTAGTATATCCTCATCAATGGTGTGAATCTTTGATCTTTTACTTATAAATTCTGTGTCTGATACTATCTCTGTCACTAACACTTGAAGAAGGATTGAGGCTCCGAAAGCTTGTGTTTACAAGTGAACATGTTGGATGATAACCTGGTGTCGTGTGATACCTGACCTTCTTTGGTTGAGGCTTCTGGCCTATTATCCCGCTGCCTGATGTGGTGGTCTCATTCCTGGCATGTCTTCAGGGAATTCTGTAGTTCCTAAGTCAGCTTTCCCCAAGCTTGGGAGCTGTTAATAGAACTGTGGTGAACTTTGTCTTAATTTTATATTGTTTTTATTAATATGTATGACTTCTGTCATTGATGTAGGCACCTTGGTGGGACAACTTATAAAACTTTTCAATGTATTTTTCATGCAAAAGTGCACGTGACAATAAATTTCTATTCTATTCTAAAACTTACACTGCTGAAAAGATTTTTATAGCAGAACGGATGTTTCCCTTGGCTGGGAGTGCAGAGCAAGGAGACATTGTTTCAGAATAAAAGGTAGGCCCCAAGCATTGAAATAAGGAAAAATTTCTTCACTCAGAGGATGCATTCTCTCCTCGGAGTACTGTGGAGGCTCAGTCATTGAGCATATTGAAAACAGACTTTGATAGGTTTAAAGACATCAAAGGATAGCGCAGAAAAGTAGTGTTATGGCCAAATTTCAGCCATGATTTAGTAAATGAGGCATTGAAATACTTATGATGTCTCCAATTTCCTATAAGCAATATTGAACATAACCACCACCCTAATTTACTTTTTCCCTCTTGTCTTGATCTCCTCTTTGTCTTTGCACAATCCAAAATAAAATGAGTGTAAGGAAACTTCCTCTCAAAGGTTAGGAACAGCAGACCATTTGTTGCTATTTTCTCTCCTGTCCCATCAGCTCTCATTGTCAACTGGATGTGCCTCTGCTTGTTTTTAAACCCTGAATATAATTCTGAAGCAGAACTCTGATCTGAATCCCAGTAGCCTTGTTTCTATTGCAGTCTGTTGTATAAACATGAATTCTAACAGATTATTTGGTGAACTTGCAGTAAAAGCACACTGTGTGATGTGACCATTGTTGCTGAGGATGTGGAAATTGAAGCACATCGTATTGTCCTGGCAGCCTGCAGCCCTTATTTCTGTGCCATGTTTACAGGTACTCGTCTGTTTTTCTTTGTAATTGTTAATAACTTCTCAAATTTGTAGAGATTTTACTAAAATATTCTAGAATCTACTTTTACTGCAGGGAGAGGCAGGTGCTTAATAACTCCTCAGAGACACTTTACTTTATGTCTGGTGATCTTGGTTTATCATAACCTTGGAAGAGGGCTTGTTAACTGTAGTAATAAAAGGAAAATGATACTGTGGAGCTGATTAGAATTCTAGAATGAGATAACTGTGACAAGGGGCTGCAGTTGAAAACCATCAAATGGTATTTTCTGCTTTGTATCAATGTCTATTTACATGGACTGATGAGAACATGCTACAGTTAGTTGTGCCCCATGTGATCCATCACTTGACTGATGTGAGAGCTCTGATAGTGAATATGAATAATGCACACTTGTGGGAAGTACTGGAGGGCATTAGCATCAGTGAAATCATAAACAGCAAACAGTTGATGCCTTAAGTAAAGGCGGAGTGAAAAGTTATGAAGAAATAGACACACAAAGTCTCTAAGTTTTTTGAATCTCTGATCTATACATTACAATGAGAGGAGTGTTGATGGAAAGCTTGAAACTTCTCATTGGAAGGGAGAGAAAATGTGTTGCCCCATGATCCACCAACGAATTTGCTAGCTCAGTTGAGAGCCTGTAATGGCAGATATCAAGGCCCAGATTTTTAATATTTTGTTTTGCTTTCTCTTGTCCTAAAAGCCACTGTCTTCCACTGCGAAATTGTTTCAAAAGTACTGACAGCCTTTATATAAGTTGTCATTCTGATCATTTCAAGCTGACAAGGGGAGTCTGGACAGGCTACTCAGCATTGGGAAGTACCACCTGCATGATTCATTATCCAAGTGATTTCCACCATCCTCCCTTTTTGCACAGTTGTGAGATCCAGCTGTGAAATCCCTGTCATTTTCATAACTGGGATGAGTTAATTTAGAATTGTGTGCCTGGGTCAAAAACTGCTCCTGTTCTGGTTGATCACACTCCTATGTCCATAATCCCTGAAAACATTGCTCTAGTATTTATTCACAGGCACAAGTCCAGTTTTTGGCAGCTAATTTGAAGATAAATACTGCTCCTAGGTTTTCCCTGGGCTCTAATCTTGCTCAATTGCATCAAACAAATATTTGTTCTGGCTTTTCAGATGCTGCGGCACTGAAGTATTAATGCTCACAGGCTTCTTCGGAGTCCGTTATGGCTACCCCCTATATGCAGCCAGTGATTTAGCCACTTTCTCACTTTCCCATGATGACTACTGAGTCCTGGCTCCAATCCACAAAAATACAAATTGGAGCAGAAGTAGGCTATTCAACCCTTCAAACATGTTCTTACCCTAACTCGTTCATGGCTGATCTGTTTGTGTTCGGAATTTCACATTCCCATCTACCACCACAATCTCTCATTCTCTTGCCGAACAGAATCTCTCTAGCTCTGCCTTATAAGTATTCAATGACCCTACCTTCAAAGCTTTCTTAGGTGGAGTTGCAAAATTGCACAACCCTCTGAGAGAAAAATAAAATTTCCTCATTTTTGTCCTAAAAGGGCATGCACTAAAATCTCTAGATCATTCTGCAGTTGTTCTCTGTTTAGATAATACCGTAAATTTTTATTCTTACTGCCAAAATGAAGAACTTCACATTTTCCAACATTATAATCTTATTATAACCCATCTGCCAGATTTTTGTCCACAAATCTAACACGTCGATATTAGCCCGTGTCCTTGTAATGTTATCCTGACAAATTCTCTTAGCTTTTCTAATTCCAGGATTTTCTTTCTGTGTTCATTCTAACAGCACAAGAGTTATGCAAGTGCTCTTGACTTGTTCCCTGCAGGATTGCTAAAAATCAGCACTCCTAACGTGGATTCTGCCCAGGTCACTCTCTCTTTCTCCAAATATCTGTGTCCCTGAACTGTTTTTCAGTGAATCCAAACTGTCTGAGTGAGCTATTGAAACACTTGGAATAAGTTCCACTTCTGTCGCAGATTGTCTCTATCCTCGACTTGCTGCAGAATGAGTAAAACCCTCCACTTCCAACTGAAGTGTATCTTTTCATTTTGTATAGTCTCTAAATTGAAGCACATTTATCGATATCTGTCAACAAGCTATCAGTATTACCTAGCATTGCTACCATTAGATTGTGGGCTGATTGCTAATACCAGTGCTGATGCACCAAGACTAATTGTGAATAAGAGCTGAAGTAACGGGTAGATGGATCTTTGATAAGAATTTCTTGTTGTTTACCTAACTTTAAAAACAAACTTTTGTTTTGCTATGTTTCACAGTGATATTTGTGCAGTAATTAGTTAATGCAATTTTTCTGAATAAGGCATTGTAAACCTTTACAATATAAAGTGTCAGGCTACTGGAAACATGTGGTCTTTTTTGCGGGCAGAACGTAGATGTTCTGTGAAGTGGTCACCCAGTCTACATTTCATTTCCATAATGCACAGGAGACCACATTGTGAGCAGCAAATATAGTAAACTAGATTGTGAGAAGTGCAGGTAAAGTGCTGCTTCACCTGGAAGGTATGTTTGGGCCCTTGGATACTAGGGAGGGCGGAGTTAAATGAGCAGGTGTTACACCTTTGGCAGTTGCAGGGTAAGGGGCTGTTGGGGGTGTTGGAAGCGAAGGAAGAGTGGACCAGGGTGTCCCGGAGGGAACGTTTCCTACGGAAGGCGGACAAGGGAGGGGAGGGGAATATGTGTGTGGTGGCATCTCGTTGGAGGTGGCGGAAATGGCGGCTGATTGTCTGGATGTTGATGCTGGTGGGATAGTAGGTAAGGATAAAGGGAAACCTATCTCTGTGGGAGGGAAGAGAGGGGGTCAGTGTGGAAGTGCGGGAGATGGGTCGGATCCAGTTGAGGGCCCTGTCAACAACAGTGCTGGGGAATCCTTGGTTGAGGAAGAAGGTGGACATTTCGGAGGCTCCCTTGTTGAAGTTGCTCTCACCGGAACATATGTGATGGAGAGGGAGGAACTGAGAATAGAATGGAGTCTTTACGGGAAGCAGGGGTGTAAGGATGTATAATCCAGGTAGCTGTGGGAGTTGGTGGATTTATAGTGGATATTAGTGGCCAGTCTGTCCCCAGAAATGGAAACAACGATGTCGAGGAAGGGAAGGGAGGATTCAGAGACAGATCAGGTAGACCTCCTCCCTCTCAAGTATCCAGGGGCCCAAACATACCTTCCAGGTGTAGCAGTATTTTACCTGCACTTCCCACAATCTAGTCTACTGTGTTCGCTGCTCACAATGTGGTCTCCTGTACATTGGGGAAATGAAATGTAGACTGGGTGACCTCTTCACAGAACATCTACATTCCTCAAAAAATACCCTGAGCTTCCAGTTGCCTGCCACTTTAACACACCAACATCTCTGCCTCAGGCTTGCTGCAGTGTTCCAGTGATGTCAGCGCAAGATGGAAGAACAACACCTCATTTTCCACTTGGGGACCCTGCAGCTCAGAGTTCCTCAGAGTAATGTCCTTGGCCCAACCATCTTCAGCTTCTTCATCAATGACCTTCCCTCCATCATAAGGTCAGAAGTGGGGTTGTTCGCCGATGATTGCACAACGTTCAGCACCATTCTTGACTCCTTGGATACTGAAGCAGTCCATGTTCACCTGCAGCAAGATCTGGACAATATCCAGGCTTGGGCTGACAAGTGGCAAGTGACATTCGCGCCACATAAATGCCAGGCTATGACCATCATCAATAAGAGACAATCTAACCACCGTCCCTTGACGTTCAATGGTGTTACCATCACTGAATCCCCCACTATCAACATCCTGGGGGTCACCATTGACCAGAAACTCAACTGGACTCACCACATTAACAGAGTGGCTACAAGAGCAGGCCAGAAGCTAGGAATACTGTGGTGAGTAACTCACCTCCTGACTCCTCAAAGCCTGTCCACTATCTACAAGGCACAAGTCAGGATTGTGATGGAATACTCCCCACTTGCCTGGATGAGTGCAGCCCCAACAACACTCAAGAAGCTTGACACCATCCAGGACAAAGCAGCCCGCTTGATTGGCACTACATCCACCAGCATTCACTCCTGCTACCACTGACGCTCAGTAGCAGCAGTATATACTATCTACAAGATGCACTGCAGAAATTCACCAAAGATCCTGGGACAGGATCTTCCAAACCCATGACCACTTCCATCTAGAAGGACAAGGGCATCAGGTATATGGGAACACCACCACCTCCAAGTTCCCCTCCAAGTCACTCACCATCCTGACTTGGAAATGTATCACCATTCCTTCACTGTCGCTGGGTCAAAATCCTGGTATTCCCTCTCTAATAGCATTGTGGGTCAACCCACAGTAGGAGGACTGCAGCGGTTCAGGAAGGCAGGTCACCATCACCTTCTCAAGGGCAACTAGGGATGGGCAAGAAATGCTGGCCAGCCAAAGACGCCAACATCCCACAAATGAATAGAAAGAAAAGCCCTCTGGACTCCGTATTGAGTTCAATAATTTTAGGGTCTGAACTCTCCCATGTTCTAGCCCCCTATCCCACACACCAGGCCTTATTACCACATAGCCTGCCATTGTTAGCCACTAACAGTCTCCATTAACAGCTATTTGCCATCCTAGCCAGATCGTTATCAACTCCTTTGTCCAACTGTTCTCTCTCTTTGGGCTCTATCCACACCTAGCGTTTACTCCTTACCCGCTCCCCCCACCCTATCTTCTGCATATAAAACAACATTTCTCCTAACTACCATCAATTCTGAGGAAGGGTCACTGGACCTGCTGCCAGACCTGCTGAGCTTTTCCAGCAACTTCTGTTTGTGTCTGCAGTCAGTTTCAGTGCATGGGATATCCCTGCTGTTTCAAAGATCTGACTGCATGCCTCTTTTTCTCTTGCAGCTCCACTACATCTGACTTTTTTTCAAGTTGATGCTACTCCATGGAATGGATGACTCTGATCAATAAGACCATTTAAAAAAACAAACAAACTATTAACTGGGATTTATTTATGAAAGGATAGAATTGAAAAGTATAGAAGTTATGCTAAATATGTGTGAAACCTTAATTAGGCTGCATTTGGAGCACTGTACAGTTGGTTGCTATCTTATTAGAAGGACATAGAGGTATTGGACAGGAAGTATAAATAAATACAAAAAGGGAAAAGTTATACCTATCTGGAAAGGGGCAAATGCAGAATAAAACTTCCCTTGCCTGAGGTGAACTATAGAGGACTAAAATTCTGAAAAGGTTTTATAAGCACAATAAACACAGTGCTTTCACTTGTCAAGAGCTAGAGGCTATCAAAATAAGATAGTCACAAGAAATCACATCAATAATTCAGAATAATGGTTTTTTTACTTAGTGATGTGAATGGTAACAAGTTGCTACCACAGTGAGAGATTGAGGCAAATTTTATTGATGTAATTAATCAGTGTCTAAGACAAGCATGCAACTAAACTAATAGGGTAATAGAGGTTATGCTTATAGGCCAAATTAAGAAGGATGGGAGGAGAATAAGTTGGAGTATAAAAGCTAGAATACATGGGTTAGGCCAAATGATCTGTTTCTGTGCTATGTATCCAATGCAATTATATATGCAATGTTCTCTAGATTCCAGAAAGGTTCCATCAGGCTGGAAAGCAGCAGATAGAATCCCTGCCTTCAAGAATGGAAGGAAACAGCAAGCAGGAAGCTATAAGCCAGTTAGCATGACATCTCTGGTGGGGAAATTGTTGGAACTGATCAATTAAGCGGTAATTGCTAGGCACTTACAAAGTAACTAAGACAATCAGGAAGAGTCAGCATGGTTTTGAGAAATGGACGCCATATTTAGGTAATTTATGAGACTTCCTTTGAAGGCATAACATGCTCTGTCGATAAAGGGGAACCTGCCAAAAAACTGTACTGGATTTCCAGAATCCTTTTGATCTGGTTCCTCATCAAATGCCTGTTCCAGAACATAAAAACTTGTGACGTATTAGTTTGGATAAAAGATTGCCTGGCTCATTGGTAGAAAACAGAGTATGCAAATTGGGACCTTGTCAGATTGGCAGGATGTGACAAATACTGCTGGGGTCTGTATCAAGGTCTCAACATCTTGCACTGTACAGAATGACTTAAATGAGGGAAGCGACTGCATGGTGGCTAAATTTGCAAATGACACAAAGATAAACAGGAAGTATGTTGTGAAGAAGATAGGAGGGAGGTTCAGTTAGAGTGCAAAAATCTGGCCAATGAAATGTAATGTGGGGAAAATGTGAAGCTGTTCACCTTGACAGGAAGAATGAAAAAGCAGAGTCTTATGAGAATAGGTTAGACAGGTTCATTTCTGTTGTACTTTAGAAGAGTGAGCAGTGACTTGATTGAAATCTATAAGGTCCTGAATAGCCTCGATGAAGTGGATATAGAAAAGATGTTTCCTCTTGAATCTTGAACTAGGGAACATCGTTTTAAAATTGGGGGTCAACCTTTTAGGACAGATGACAATTTTTTTTCATTGACAAAAGTTTTGCGAGTTTGCTACTCTGCTGTAGAAAGTGGTGGAAGTGTGGTCATTGAAAATAGCCTAGTTGTGCTCCTATTTTCTTTGTTTGTAAGTTGATAACATGGGAGATGGCGTTGCTATGAACCTGACCTTTCTTGTGTGTCTATGGAAGGCTTGTTCAAATTAGTTCAAATTGCATCTCTTTCAATTCAGCAAAAATACCACTCTAAATGCTTGAGTCTTGAAGCGTGACTTGATTTAAAGTATGTGATAAACAGCTTTGCCTCTGCAAAGAATGTAATTTTGTTTTTCTTTTGTTTTACAGGAGACATGGCTGAAAGTAAAGCAAAGAAAGTCGAAATAAAAGACATAGATGGACATACACTAAGTAAACTAATTGATTATATATACACTGCTGAAGTAGAAGTCAATGAAGAGAATGTGCAGGTAATGTACACCCACAAGGCACTGTTGAAGGCCAGAAAGGAATGTTCCATTGAATAGTATAAGATCCTCTCCTGGAATGGAAAATTTAGAAATGTAAACATTTTGACTTGAATTTTTGCACCCAAGTGTCTGTGGAGTGTCTGTGTCTTTGGGTGTTTTTTCTGGGGAGAGAGGAGTTCAGTTGTGGATTTTACAGGAGTTTCATGGCAGGCAACCTCAAAAGGAGTGCTGAAACTTTCCAGCATGAAGGTCGGCCAGATAGCCTACTTCAGTGCACCGGCATATGTCAGAGATATAAAGTTTTACCATAAAACAAAACAATTACTCCAGCCCCTTTAACCGTTTACACCTTTTTTGTTTCCTCTACTTTCCCCCATGACCCTCAATGCTAACTTATACTCCATCTACCCTCTGTAACCCCTTGTGCCCTCTATGCCAACAAATACCTACCTTTCTGGATTTTTTAGTCCCTGTGCTCTCAATGCCACCTCATGTCAACACATTCCTGTCCCTGTCTACTATCCATTTTCCATGCATCCTCAGTGCCAACTCGCCTGTATGCATCATTGGCATGCCTTAGTATTCATGTTAAGATTAAATAAACTCTTGTATGTTAATTGATGAATTTACCACTTTTAAAAAATTAGGCACATTGAAATATTGCATTAGGATTAGGCTTTTTATTACTTTAAACAATCACAAAAGCAAATACTGGGTTTCATAGTTCTACTTCAAGGAGCTTATAATGACTAGGAGCTTTCAATCAAATGTATGGAAGTACTATCACCTGCAAGTTCTCTTCCCAATAGCACAACATTTTGACATGGAACTAAATTGCCATTCTTTCATTATTCCTGTGTGAATATCCTAGAACTCACATCCTAATGCTATTGTGGCTGTATGTACGCCCCAAGATTGCAGTGGTTCAAGACCTCAACTTGCCACCATGTCCTCCAAGGGAATTAGGATGGCAAAAAATGCTGGCAACAAATGCAACTCCCATAGTCCAAAGATGTTCACACTAGGTGGATAGGCCATGCTAAATTGCCCATAGTGTTCAGGATGTGTCAATTCGGTAGGTTATAGGGGGATGGATCTGGGTGGGATCATGTGAGGGTCAGTGTGGACTTGTTGGCCGAAGGACCTGTTTCCACACTGTACGGATGCTATGAATCTATGAAAGTTCTGTGAACAAAATTTTAAAAGTCCACCAAAACAGTTAATCTAATCTGTAAATTATGTGGGGTTTTTACCACTCCCACGCACATTGAAACAGATGCAACACTTCAAAAATATTTCATTATCTGCAACATGCTTTGGAAAAAATTGACAAGGTGAAAGGCCCTATATAAAATCATTCTTTTCACTTATTTTGAATTTTTATACCAGTAATGTATTAGATTCTGGATTCTGACATTTAGTATGTTGTTACTAGATACTTGAGTTCACTTCTGGTATAAATAGGCAGCCCAACAAATGGGCACACCAGCAGATTTAAAAAAAATATAATAGCAACAATGGCAATAAAGTGACTTTTCAAACTCGTGTGCTATCCAAGTAACAAGCTAGAATGGCGCATTATTTGGCTTTGTATTTGTCACACTGTATTTTACTTCATTACATATTGAATTGACTGTTGCAACTGACGAAGTACATTAGAAAGAATCTTTGCTAACTATACTGACCTCTGTTTCAAAATGGTGGTTGTGTTTCTTTCTCCTGATCTTTCAATGACAGCCATCATCCTAAAAATTCTTTGAATTCTTATGAAATGAGAATAAAGGGCAGGGACGTTGAGACAAGTGGGATTGTCCATATGCTGCTATACACTACCTGTAAGGAAATCCTTTTTTGATTTAAAAGTCACAGTCAACTTGTTTGCAACTGCCTTTTGTTGTTTTGCCTGAGAGAGTTTGTGAGTGGGATTGTGTGACCCAGTTAGGGTATTTGTATGGGAAGCAATGCCTGTTTCATAATCAAGCACAATTATCATTAACTATATGCTGGGTGAAAAGTGGAATTTTCAAGTGAACCAGACTTTCAACTAGACTCTGATTTTGACATTATGTACAGCTGAAAGAAGTGATTTGGACAAGTCCAGGATGGGTGAAACCCATGTAGAAACTGTTACATTTCAAATTTCCTATTCTGCTCTCATTAGTCCTGATTTTAGGCCCAAAAATTGACCAGAATTTCTGGGATGTGATATTTTGTCTGACTTTGAACTATACTATGGGCATAGAAATGTAATTGCACTACTTATACATGACGACATCAGATTGGAAGTGTCATGACTTTTGAACATTTTCTCTTCCTTGCAGAATGATGTTATGATATCTACAATTAAGAATGCTTACTTTGCAAAAAAATTGCTTACAGAAACACTGTCAAGAGCTGCAAAGTTAATCGCCCTGCTGGGTTATAGTGCAGGAAATGAGCAAACATGACAGGCTATGAATCAATGACAATTTAAGTGACTGGAGTGGTGGGGGGGTGCAGGGGGCGGTGTTAGTGGTGGCTGGTCTGAGATTTGCTCATTCCACACATCATATAAACTGTAAGATTCTGAAACAGTGATTTAAACTGCCAGGCAGTGAACAAATCCTAATTTTGTTTTTTACCCCTGTACAGTTGGACTTATTGGCAAGCACTTCCTCTCATCTCTTTAAAGGAAATGTGTAGATTGCTAGGGAATATCCTGTGCAACCATGGTTACTCTGCCATTAAACTTAACCCCAAGGAATACCTTTTTATTTATATAACTCAAATTCCTGTTAAGATTTTGTTCTGATCATTATTGTTTCCCAAGAATGACTAGTGTCCTTCATATTTTTGTTAATGATGTCACTTAGAATAGTTAGCGTGCATTGCTGTTACTGACATAGAGTCATTAGAAATGCACAGCATGGAAACAGACTGTTCGGTCCAACTCATCCATGCCAACCAGATATCCCAAATTAATCTAGTCCCATTTACCAATCTTTGGCCCATATCCCTCTAAACCTTATGTATTATGAATTAATTTTTTGGGGGGATAATCCAGTTCTGCAGATGATACAGTGAAATTGGAAGAACATATTGTACTAGTTTCCTTAATGGTGCGGTGACTTCATCTAGAGACTTGCTAAACCAATGTACTGCAGATGCTGGAAATCTGAAATTAAAACTGAAGGTGTTGGTGAAACTCAGCAGATCTGGTAGCATTTGTGCAGAATGAAACAGAGTTAATGTTTCAAGTCCAATATGACTTCTTCATAACTGAAGAGGACTCAAAATAGTTTTTATGCTGTTGATACTGGGGAAGGACGAGCAGGCAGAACAGATGGTGAGCGTGCCCACAGCAAAAGGTAGTAAGACAATCTGTATATGCAGAATAGTTATTTAGGTGTGAGGAGTAGGAAATAGGTCTGTACTGAGAGCAAACCCATGCAAACAAGACATTGCAGGGGAAGGGGTATAATCAAAATGGAGGATGCTATTTGTGTTCTGAAGAGTGGAAAATGAGTTGTTACTCCTTCGCTTGTGTTGGGCCTCATTGGAACGCTACAGCAGGCCTAGGACAGAAATGTTTACATGAGAGAAAGATGGTGTACTGAAATGGCAAACATCTGAAAGGTCAAGGTCATCGCAAAATGATTATCTGCTTTGCATTTGGTGTTGCCAAAGTAGAGGTGACAGCATTGTGGGCAGCAAATACAGTAGACTAGATTGATAGAAGTACACATAAATTGCTGCTTTACCCAGAAATTGTATTTGAGGACAAGGACAGTGAGGAAGGAGGAGGTAAAAGGTCAAATGATGCATTTTCTGTGACTCGTTGGGATTTGCCATAAGCAGGGTGAAGAGGTTTTGGAGTGTCAAAGGAGTGGACCAGGATTTTGCAGAGAGAGAACGGTCCCTGTGAAATGTTGACCAGAGAGGGGTGGAAAGATGTTTAGGGCGGCATTTCCCTATAGGTGATGAAACTAGCACAGGTTGATCCTTCCAATGTGGAGGCTGGTGGGATGGAAAGTGGGGTTGAGGGGAAACCTTATTGTTCTGGGAGAGAAGGAAAAGGCGTCAGACGCGGATGAGGGCCCAGTCAACCAGGATCTGGAGGGTTGACTGTTCAAATTCCTGTTATGTTCTTGGAGTTAGCTGAATTCAGGCAGTGTGGTGTTAGGGTGCTACAGGGAGGTTGAGTATCTGGATTGGCTGGGGCAGTAACTTATCTGCTTATGAAAATTATTCATTGATCTCTGCTAGAAGTATTAATGTGAATGTAATTCCTTTTACGTTCAAGTATCTACTGACACGCGCATCTAATCAAATGTGAAAATAATGACAGCCTGGACTAAGAACCAAAAGGACATCCGTGGAATCACGCTGCAGCACGGAGACTCTCCTTTTAGAAGAAGTGAACTTGAAATCATTGGTGTGAAGGAAAACAGTTTTTATTTTGCACAAAATTTGACAGATTCACTTGGGGTAGGGGGAGGGGGCACACTACTAGAACAGAGCAGAATGGTCTTGTTTTTTCCTGTACCCACACTGTACGTAGCTGATCTTAACTGAAACGGAAGCAAGACACAACTTGTCAGGTGACTGTCCTAGGATAGCCCCAAGGTCCTTCTGGAATTGATTGAGTTTACTGTGTTTCCCTAATTTGGTTAGCATCTTTACACAAAACAAAATCACATTTTTAGCTGTTTGCAATTATTATTCATCTAGGAGTTAATCGCATGATTCTTGTCATCAGTCGTGCTCATGTACATTGGATGTAGATCACTGATTGCAGTGCAACAGGGCAGAGGTACGTTGCCATTTTTATTTATTCATGGCACATCAGCACCAGTGGCTGGGCCAGCTTTTACTGCCCTTTCCGGTTGCCATTGAGGAGGTAGTGGTTCGGAACTACCTTCTTGAACATCTTCAATCCATTTCTCGTAAGAGGGTAGTAAAAGGAGGAGTAGGGCAGAGAAAAGAGCTGAAAGGGGGCTTTGCACTTAGAGGCATGGCAG